GGCTGGCTGGGAGCAAGACAAGCACCCCCTCTCCCCCCAACTATATTCACTCTGCCCAAAGAGCATCATTTTCCATAGCAAGGGCAAGGTGAGATTTTGGAGTCAGGCTGGGTCCTAACCTTTTAAGCATTTATTTGCCACGTACGCCATTCCCATAATTTCTTCCTCCCTGACTTCTGGATTCCCCTCCTCCTGATGACATTAATGCTGTTGCATCCATCTAGTGGACGCTTACCACTTGTGACACTGTTTCCTGAGGAAGTAGACTGGGAATTCTAAGTAATGGTTTTCAGGTGCAGTTCTTGAAGCGGAGCAGGCTCTGAGTTTATGCCACCAGCAGGGACTCCAGGGGCTGCTGCCTGGCCGCTGCCCACATCACAAAGGATGGTCACTGCTCCACCATTCAGGAGCAGTGGAACATGCTAGCCGGAAGACACAGGGCTGGTCGGGCAAGCTCTCTGTGTTCCAGAAAGGAATGGTGATGTTTCATGAAAAGTTCCCTGGCCTGCACCAGCAGCCATGGCAAACACATGCGTTCTTTGCACACAAGACTACTAAGATTCTAGATCACAGTGCTTCTAGAAGATTCTAGAATCTTAACAGCCTTAAGAGTCAGCTCACTGGAAGGGTGTGGATGGGTTGGACTCAAGCTACACCTCCCTCCGGTACGTGCTTCTGAAGAATCTTGCTTCCTGGAATTATGGTTATTTTCCTTATCAAGGGTCAAGTGGAAAGAACTAGTCGCTGTCTCATTCTTTTCAGATTACTTCATGTGTGCACACATGTGCGTGCACGCTTCCATATACATGAACACATGTTGGGTCCTCCTCCTTTTATGGGCGTAAAAGTTGAGGCAGTGAAGGTTAAGGAGGGTCCACGGTGGCAGGTGCTCCCTGCACAGTGCTCCTCAAGTGGGAGTCCAGCCTATCCAAACAACCATCCCAACCCCGTCTGACACGTCTGTTTCATCTGCTTGTTTTTTTGGGCCACAGTGCAAAACAGGCATTTAGATTCTGAGTAAAAGAATCGATGTTCTGTCTAATAATAATGGGGGAAAGTAACATGGGGAGGGGGCACCCCTCTCCCCGCCCCCCCACCCCAGCTGTGCTTAGGCTTACTGGCAGTGCTTGGGGATTACTCCTGGCTCTGTGCTCAGGGATCATTCCTCCAAGTGCCCAGGGAGTCATATGGGATGCTGGTGATTGACCCTAGGCTGGTCACTTGCAAGGCAAACGCCTTGCCCACTGTACTCTCTCTCCCGTCCGTCTGGCACTTCTAATTCCCCTTCCCTGGTTTTCCCATCGGGTGCCAGATGTGTAGCACAATCACCCATCTGGCACCTAAAGTGTTACGTATTTGTTGGTTATTTCTTTCCACTAGCATACAACCTCCATCAAAACAAAGGTATCTGTTTTGACACTGCTATAACCTTGGGCCTCAGGAAAGTGCTTGGCCTATAGAACCATCACTACTGGATGAATGAGAACTCTTTGCTACAAAGTTTTTCTTGAGGAATCTTTGCTATGAGAAATGAGAGAGAGAGAGAGAGAGAGAGAGAGAGAGAGAGAGAGAGAGAGAGAGAGAGAGAGAGCGCGCGCACAGACATGGAGTGCCAGCAGGAGGTGGGATTTCATGGGGAAGATGTTGAGGATCACAGAATGTGCATGTACTTGTAGAAGTGACCCAGCAGCCTTGGAAGAAATGATAGTATAGGAGAAAGAGGAAAGCTGGTATGAGTGACACTGTTAACTAACTAGGCCATGGGGGATGGCCTGAGTGGCTGGACCCTTCAGAGATAGCACATCAATGAAAACTGAGGGGAAGGCAAAGGAGGATGCAGGCAGACGGGATCTTCTGAGCCTTCAATGATTGTTACTAATTTCTATTCTGTCTCAGTTGAAAGGGAAAATAAAGAGAAAAGAGGTTCTTGAGATCTGAAAGAAAAGGTGTGAAATAACGAGAGAGAGAGAGAGAGAGAGAGAGAGAGAGAGAGAGAGAGAGTGTTAGGGGAAGGTGATAGGATTGTGTGTCTCAATTGGATTTAGGTCATTAGTTTCAACCTATGTGACAGTCCTAGTCATGTATGTAGTGGGGAGATGCTGAGTTAGAGCCAAGAAAGTTTGACTCTTGGCCAACCTGGGTTTGAACCCTAACACCTCATATGCTCCCCTGAGCACAGAGCCAGGAGTAAGCTCTGAGCACTACTGAGGCCAAACAAACAAACAAACAAACAAACCCCAAAACAAAAACAAATCTGTCAGACCATTCCAAAAGGAACATTTAGATTGCTAGACCCAGGTCCCACGGCCGCTGCCAGGGAAGCTCACTTACTGGGCCTGTTTCAGAGACTCCTAAATAAATCTCAAGAGGGATCAACTAGCCACACAAATTTATTTGATTATGGGTTTTCGGCCGAGACCTTCAGGGTGACCTTGGAGGATAGGCCAGCTCCCGCCCTACCAAAGCCCTGGCAGTTGCATCCATGCCCCAAAGCCACCGCTATATCCCCACCGCAGGACTGAGCTCCACAGAGAATTTAATCTGCCAAAAATTTCAGGTACATGGTATTTTTTTTTCCCTGAAAATTCCAGGCCCTTTCAGAGTGGGGATGGATAATCTCTGCCCACCTCCCTGTACTTCCAGAAGTCCAGGCAGCCACACCCAGTTCTGCCCCAGTTAAGTATTCTGAATTTTCTGGGATGCACTCCATACTGCGGCTCCAAATTCTATAACATGGACAAACTCATAATTTAAGAGCGAGAAAAAGGTATGACACAGGGTTATGCCATATTATGATTGAGCTGGGAAGTTTGTGACAGCATGAAGAGAGTAAGCAATGGAAGGAAGCACTCAGCAGGGCCCAGGCACTCAGTCGCCTCAAGTGCCACCCCAGTCTGAGTCCCCTGGGGCGGGGCACTGTGTCTTCTTCCCCGATGCCCCTCAAAGGTCACAGCAATAAAGAGATCCCATTCTGGGGCCAGGGAGACAGGGCAGGAGCTAAGGCGTCTGCCCGTGTCTTACCAACCTGTTTGATTCTCAGAACCACAAATGGTCCCCCAAGCACTGCCTGGGGTCACTCCTGAGCATCTCCAGGTGTGGCCTAGAGGATCTAGGGAGAGGAGAGACAGGGAGGGAGGGAGGGAGGGGGGGAGAGAGAGAGAGAGAGAGAGAGAGAGAGAGAGAGAGAGAGAGAGAGAGAAAACAGAGAGAAGACAGAGAGACGAGACATAGAGACGAGACAGAGAGAGACGAGACAAAGACAGAGGAGAGAAAAAGCGAGGAGAAAGACACAGTCAGACACAGACAGAGAGAGACAGAGAGACAGAGAAACAGAGAGAAAGAATCAGAGAGAGAGCCAGAGACAAACAGAGAGAGGAACAGACACACACACACACACACACACACACACACACACACACAGATGTCACATTCTTCTGCACTAGGCAAACTTTGGCCACACAGCCATTGGCGGTTCACCTAGTAGCTGCCAGGCTCTAGCCGACTCTTCCGACTCATGGTTCAGATGAGGGTCAGATGTGTCTGATCAGTCTACTTTTCAGGGCCCATTCAGTGCAGCTCCTGGGGAATTGTGATCCCAGGTCTGGGAAATTCACAAGGACGATGCCAACTCTAAACTGGGTGAGCAGTGAGGTTCATGCCAGGTATTTTTCCTCCAAGTGAATACACATCGATATTCACTCGTTTCAGTTGGACTCACTGCAAATTCGGACTGGGTAGAGTCCGGATTAATGAGGCTGGTTATGCTGAGGGAAGCGATATGACTCCTTTTACTTTCCCAGAATGAAGCTGGCTGTTGAGAAAGGATGGGAAAGCTTGGCTTGATTACCTGAAGATGATGCCTTTCATGAAAGATGCAGAACCCAACTGTTGAGTAGCGAATCACTCCCTCTCCACTTCCCATCCAGCTTGTAAGAAGAGGACCAGTCCCACACTCTATTACTCTAATTGAATTCCAACTTGGGTAATTACATTATAATTAAATAAAATTTCCCCATAGTTTTAGCTCAGTGACAAATAGTGCTAGTCAAACAGCTACATTTCACTCCCAGAAACATATCCTTACTACACTGCAGTGATAAGTGGAGTGATTTATAATTGGGAGATGTGTATGAAAAATGCACAGTTCATAAAATATTTTAGGTATCATTCATGATTACATATGCTTTTCTCAGCATGAGATAACATTAATTTCTATTATATAATCTTTCATCTAATTTCTCATATGCCTTTGTGCCAAAGGAAGACAGCTAATTAGCATTTCTTATTTTCAGAACAATTTTGGTTTAGTTAAGCGGTAGCTTGTTCCTTTTATTTCTCTGTGTTGTGGTGAGTGTGTACAAGAGAGAGAGAAAGAGAGGGAGAGCAAGAGAGAGATATTTCCTGCAGTATCGGGGATTGAACCCAAGGCCTCACACATGCAAGGCTCTAGTGCGGAACCAGCTCCCCAGATGTAATTCAGAACCTCGGGAGACAGACCGGGGTAGGTGTTATTGCTTCCCGTTATACACAGGGAGAAAATAAAAATCAAGACTGTCTACTCAGCAGAGAATAAGCCAGTTAACTCTCAGGACTGTGCTTGGAACCCACTCTTCCTCGGGGCCCCTGGTCCAAGGTGTTCTAGAAAATACTGGGTTATTCAGCAACCACTTTCTTTTGTTTTACTAAGGAGAAAACCAAAAGCAGAGCTTCTGGGACCTGGGTCACAGATCAGGAATGTGCCAGAGTCGATGATTTCATGAGGAGTCTGAGGCCTCGTACATACCTGGGTCCTCATGACGTCCGTCCTTGCACCCACACTACAGAGATTGTGTCTACGTGGTGTGCCCCAGGATAGCTCAACGGGGCGACCATGTGAGGAAAGGGTTATAAAGAGGTGCTAAAGCCTCCACATTTCAATGTTGACCCCTTCGTGATCTTTCCTAACGGTGGCAGGTGACTTTTTTAATCAACGGTATTAAAGACAACATCGAGATACTCACAAAAAGCAGCAGGAGCAAAGGCGTTATCACGATGCCCTGGAAGAGATAAAAGAGAGGAGGGTCATTTATCAGCCTGGAAAGCAGCTGCAGCTTCTTTGCCATTTTTATTCCGGTTTCAAGTTGGGGCCACACCCCCGTGGTGATCGGAGCTGACTCTGGAATCTGCGCTCAGGGGTCACTCCTGGCGGGGCACGGGGGGCTTGTAGGGGCCCGAGCAGGCCATGTGGAAGGCAAGTGTCCCATGCACAGGACGGCTGCTCCAGCCACCCTTGGCCACTGAGACTCTGATGCACAGAACTGCCTCCCCTTCCCACTTCATAAAACGGAGGAGGAAAAGCAGAGGGGACCCTCATTTCAGCTCTCCCCGTCACGTTGCCGACACCCTGACATCAACTGCAAGTGCCCCCATGGATCTCCCCCAAACTCGTCTTCCCTTCGAAAGTTCTGATTCTTCCCCGGCTGCCGCCGTCTCCCTCCCAGGCTTTCAACTCTAACTTGGATAAAGTGCCCCCTTTCAAGAGGAGACAGGTGCTGGAGTCCCAGTTGGGGTGCTCTCCCGAGCAAAGACTACGTCAGGGGTGATGAATGAGATGTCTCGGTGTTGTAATGTGAGCCGATGTCCCCCAGGAAATGAGCTGGGATCGCAAACTCATTTCACTTGATTAGACTCCGTGTCTCCGTGGAGCGAGGCGAGTCTTTCATCTAATTCAGCCACACAGGACCACGGTGGTCCCTCTGCCTCCCCGAGGCAGGAAGGGGCAAAAGATTTGTTTTCTTCCATGACAGGGAACAGTTTGAGGCTGTTGTCGCCGGGGCTTGGTACAAGCTCTCAGGTTTCGGGAAGGTAAATCTTTAAAGTCAGGTGTTGGAGCTGGGGATTGGGCTGACAGGTCTCAGATGCCGGTCAGCATCTGATGATTCATCCCTCTCAGTTCTCTCTGGCGGACACGGTCAAGAACACCCGTTCTCTCTCTCTCTCTCTCTCTCTCTCTCTCTCTCTCTCTCTCTCTCTCTCTCTCTGTGTCTCTCCACTTCATCATCATGTAGACAAAGTGGAGGGGTGGAAAAGCCTTTCATATTTTTACTCATGAATTTGACTTGGGACTTTAACATTGCTAAGTGGGTATGTGTGCTGTGTACAAGACTGACCAACAGACAAACAGATGGAGACTATATTGAGCCCAGGATCAAGCTTTACCGGGATCCCTTCGTTAGTTTTATATGAAAGTCTTTTGTCATGAGAGTAACTATATCCTCTTAGCTTTGGCTAGGAAGGAATATGTCACCTTCTCCCACAGAGATAGGATAAGAATGTTTCACGCAAGGGGCTGGAGCGATAGCACAGCGGGTAGGGTGTTTGCCTTGCATGCAGCTGACCCGGGTTTGATTCTCAGTATTCCATATGGTCCCCCAAGCACTGCCAGGAGTAACTCCTGTGCATTGCTGGGTGTGACCCAAAAAGAAAAAAAAAAACCTTAAGAATGTTCATGCAGGAAGAAGGCTGAGCATGGTCATCCTCTAGAGGCACTTGTTTTATGTCAGAGGAGTGAACATGAGGACCATGCTCTTTCTGGGGCCCAACTCAAGTTCCTTTGCAGCCCAGTGCTTGCCTTGCATACTGCTGACCCGGACTCAATTCGCAGCACCCCCTGTGGTCCCCTGAGTACTGCCAGGAGTGCTCTCTGAGCATAGTCAGAAGTAAGCCCTGAGCACCACCAATCGTGGCCCCCAAACAAACTAAATTTATCAATAAGTGCTTTCACACTTCCACACACATTTGTAATATCTGACTTTCCCTTATCAAAGGAGTCAGGCCACATATAGGTTCCATTCCGTAGAATAAAACGGAGTTCGGCAAAGCCGGGCAGCTGGCCCAAAGTCACACAGCAAATGAAGAGGGAGACCTTGGGCTCAAGTCCACTCTGTCCCACTCCCAGGCTGGACAGAGTGAACTGGCTCCTCACTGCTGCGGGTCCCTGGGCAGTCGATTCCCACAGCCCATTCATGAAACTCTCCACACCTCTCTGTTCACGACATAGAGCCCAGCTGCTGTAAGCGCTGTTCCTCAGCTGATCCTGTTATTCTCAAAGGCAAAGCGCCAAGAGCAGTTGGGGGCCCGGCCCAATCGACTCCCGTGGATAGTTGCCGGCACATTTGGGTTTTATTTTATTTTTTACAAGTCTTAGGATATTTCTTCCCAACAGATTAAAAGTTCCATACATATTAGGACTTGAATTCCTAACTCAGATCCGCGACATTTCCTTATCTGTTTGATTTCATTAACTAAGAGTGGATCAGGACGAGAATGCTATTCGGGTCTCCCAAAGAGGAATCGAAAGAGCTATGCTTGGAGTATCACACTTCACTCAAGTGAGAGAAAGAATCTGGAGTTCCGACCTCCCGACGACGATCGAGGATCAGGGACACTGCCTCGTTTGCCAAGGTGTCAAAAATCAGATGGGCCAGACATGTAATGCGATTTGGAGACCACTGCTGAACTAGAGCCATTACAGACAGGATTCCACGGGACGTTAAAAGATCGCCTGGCCGCCCACCTATGAAATGGTCAGACTTCTTCGTCAAGACCCTGAACGATCGGTTTGATGCCCTTCATGTTCCTGGAGTGAGCAGACGCCATTGGGCTACACTAGCATGCGACAGGGATGAATAGAGATGTTACTGGCGCCTGCTCGAGCAAATCGATGAGCAACCGGATGACAAGTGACAAGTGACAAGAACGGATCGTCATAGGCCACTGAAATCTGGTTTTCAGTTCCATCGGGAAACGCAGCAGTGGCATGGCAGGTCCTGAGCCCAGCACCCCACTTAAGCGTTGGGGAAGCCATGCCAAAGGTTATTTAAAAAATGAGAGCCAATATTCTGGGAGTGTTTGTTTTCAACCTAATGATGTGCCAAGCCCCTGTGTATGCTAGGTAATCCTCACAACAACCCTGAGGGGAGGTGTCCCCTCCTCCCGCAGGGAGGGGAACCATGACCGAGTGAAATACGAAGCAAATGTGCCAAGAATCCAACTCTAGTTCCCTGACTCCAGCCCTAAGCTCCCGGATCCAGAAAGTAAAGCCGCTACAATCTTCGGCTCTTCCCCCCTGGCGCTGTATCTTAAAGAGCAAACCTGAGTACAGCTTCAGACTCAGTATGTCATTTTGATGACATGAAACAGATGGAGAATTAAGGCCTCTCCGTGATAAGGCTAATGCTTTTTTTTTTTTAAAGTTAAAAGGCTAATGCTTTTTTTAAGTTAGGTGCTTGCAAATATTCTTTTTCTAGAAAGGGAGAACTGAGCATATAAATGGGAATAGCATGGCCTCTGGAAAGTTAAATAAGAGGAAAGTTAAATAAGCAGGTGATTTTTCTCTCCAGCACACAGAAAGAAAGCTCAGAGTGTTTCCCTTTCTCTCTCTTTCCGAGTAAATCCTAAGGAAATGAGCAAAATCAATGAGGCTCTGCACAGGAGTTCTACCAAGGGGTGGTGGGGTGCAGGGGAGGGGGGAGGGGGGAATGATGCCCTCCTGGCCACGTCAAGGTCAACACAGAGCCGTGAAATGCAGGGAGAACGGGAGAACGTCCAACTTTCTGACTGCAGTACCTGAAAAAGTGAAGTCACAAAGTGATGGTCTTTGATTGTCCTATAAAAACCCTTCAGAAAATCCATTTACACCTCTGATGTGAACGACTGGATGAATATATTTCAATGACTTAGGGAAGGGGGGGAGGTGCTAAATCAGAGGCCTTGAGATTTAGCTGCATTAAAATAGGAGCCAAGAAACTTTCAAATACCAACAAAACTGCGACTATGCCTCTTTCGACAAAAGGGCTTAGGAAGAAGGCAAACATTGGAGTAAATCACCTGTTTTTCCTACTTTTGAAAATGAGAGCATTGTGATTTACGAAGTTCTTTTTCTCCCCCTTTGAAGTGGAAAGTGGTATTCAGTGCTTTTGCTGCAGAAGCCACTGGACTCATACAGACACCAGCACTGACTTCTCGATCCTCCAATAAACCCAGGTACCAAATTATAGTTTTGGAAAGGATGCTTTGCTCTGCCTCTCTATTTCACTTTCTGTTGATGAAACGCTGGTTTGAGGGTGTGAGTACTAAAACATTTTAGGGGTACATCACCACAGACAGGGGATCTATATCCTGTCACCACAGTCCAAATTTGATTTCTTATTTTCTTTCCTTTTAGGGGAGGTGGGGGCTGGTGGTTCACACCTGGCAATGCTCAGGCATAGCTCCTGGTTCTGAGTTCAGGGATCATTCCTGGCGGTGCTGGGGAACTATACGGCATACCTGGAATGATGGAACCTGGGTTGGCCATGTGCGAGGCAAATGTCTTAACTGCTATACTCTCTCCAGCCTGAAGCAAACAGTTGACTTTTGGTGTGTGTGCGTGTGTGTGTGTGTGTGTGTGTGTGTGTGTGTGTGGTGTGCACCCAGGAGTGCGCAAGGTTAACTCCTGGCTCTGTGCTCAGGAATCATGCCTGGTTGGCTCAGGGGGACCATATGGGATGCTGGGGATTGAACCTGGGTTGGCTGTGTGCAAGGCAAATGCCCTCCCCACTATACTATTGCTCCAGTCACTGAATTATTGTTTTCGTAACTAAAAGGCCAAAGTTAAGTATTGGATTTTCCCTCATTGATGAAATGTAGGTTTTCCGAGAGGCTCAGGCCTCACCTGCAGCGCAACCTGAACCTCTCCCTGCCTTTGCAGCAAGTCACGTGACATTGGCCTGGCTGCCCGCCACCAGGGAAGCCGCCAGCTGTTGACACAGGCCAGCCTGATCCTGGCTCTCCTGGGACGGGCAAGGTCTTCCTTACACCAACTCCCAGCACCCCCACCACCCTCTTCCCCATCCCCAAACATCACCGTCTAGATGACCTGCCTTGGAAGTGGAAGTTTTTGTACAGCGGGAAGACATGTTCCCTGGGGAATGTTTTCAGAGGAAGCAGGAATGAGCAAGTGGTCCCCACATAAGGAATCTCCAGGCTGAGAGTGGGGGACGGTGCGGGGGTCTCT